CTTAATTAAAAAATAGAAATACGGATTAAACTTCATGACCTTTGCTCAAAACAGTGTAAAGTTTTTGGCCGCATGCATGACCGTAGAGCTGACATTTAAAAATGTATTCACGTTAGTTAATTATCAGCCGCGCCGATTTTCAGAATCACGTGACGCTAAAACAAACACAGTGTTCACAAAATATTAATAATAGAAAAGTACAAGTCAAGGGCTTTCCAAACATATATAGATTGTATAGGTTCTTGTAAAATTTACTCCGATTATAGATGTTTACATTTTCCATGCCAAAAAACTATCTCGCTACCTTAAAACAATTCTTTAAGTCCTCTCTTCTGTAGATTTCAAAGCACTATGAAAGTAGGTAGACTATATGAAAAAGAATTCACACTACATGTCATAGTTTCTAATGATTAATATGACCCTTGTACTTACTAAGAGATGATGCACTGGATACAATTGATACATCACTACAAGTAGAAGCCGGGGAAGGAGGTGGTCCCATTTCAGTTTTAATCTCATTTTTATTCTCCGGTTTACTTTCAGTCTTCTTCTCCTCTGGCTTATCATTAAACCTGATTTTGAATCGACAAATTTCAGACAGGTTCCAAGCGGATTCCTGGAGCTCCCCAACTTTAGGCATGCCACCAACGACTGTGAAAGCCAGTGCACCAGAATGAAATAAAGGCTTACTGATGAGGCAAACCTGAAAAAAGAATTGTTATTACTGTGAAAAGAGATTGCAGTGATGATATAGGAAATATTTGGGGAGGGTATAGTACTAAGGACATATCCCCTTCATAATTGTAAAGATTGCCATATGATGCAACTTTTCAGATTTATTTTACGAGCAGAAGTAACATTTCTGAACTGAAATATCAAAGTAACTTTGCAGACATACTTCTTAAACATGTTATTTCTACGACAGAGCAAGTAAATCAAACACTAAAGCAAATCGAAGGATTATAATCATGATATCTCAATAATCAGTAATTGTTAGTTGCTACAGTATTCTCCTCAGCTAACAGCCAAAGAAAAGTATTCAGCAAGTATGTTATTTTTGTGGCCAAGCATGGTAAAACAGCCAAGCTTAAAAGAATTGGGAAGAAAACTGTGTTACACTTATAACTTGATAGTAACATTATGCTAGAGTAAACTATTTTTTTTTTAAAACAGCAGTCTAAAGTTTCCAGTGCCAAAGTCAACATTAGACACTATCCACAAAACAGTTTTCTTTATATCGGTAGTCTCATTTTTTGACCAAATACTAGAAGTACCGGTAATGTCACATTTTGTTTCTTTGGTCCAAAATTAAGATAGAATTAAGTGAAAATCACAGAAAATGTGAACAAATCTAACCCATTATGAGCAAAAAAAATTTGGTGTTCAAGGGGTCAGTTAAAGTGATCTACTTGATGGCACTTACCTGAGTTCCTACTACTATGTTTGATTTACTACTGCTACTGACTCGTGGTTTCTTGGACTTGGTACGAGTTTTCTCTAAAATTTTCTTCCTCTGAGTGAACGGTAGTACCCCCCTAAAAAAATAACTAAACATAATTAATGCAAAGTCTTGCCAATATATTAAGTGAAAAGGATTACTGAACCACAGTCAGGAACCTAACAAATCACACATATTTGCATTATCCCTCACTCTAAAAAAATAGGTATCACATTTTGGCATGTATTTGCCATCTCTTACTCAGCTCATCAATGAGACTTGGATTCTAAAACAGAACACAACTATGGCTGTGTCACAGTTTCCTCCAAATAAATACAAATGCAAGGTGATATTTTAGCTACAACAGTTAATGTATTGACATGAGACTAGCCCACAGACCAACAACCAAATGTTTTAGTATTGATGGTACAGCTATCATGGCTGGGCCTAAATTATATGATTTTACTGGCATAATTGCTGGTGAAAACACTTCTGACACAGGAAGTTATTCACTTAGATTCTTGAAAGTAAAAAAAAAAAATAATAACCAAACTAATTTTTGTCCAGAGTTGTACATATAGGTATTTGATTTATTTTCTAATCAAAAAGATCATCAGAGTTGGGCTTAACGCTATGGGAAAATTACCAAGGTCACTATTTCATAGAAACAGTTTTGGATTTTTATTTATTTTTTTATTTAGCAAATTATTGAAAAATTTCTAGTGCTTTTAAAGTTTTTTGAATTTTTACCTAGTAAGTCATGATTGAATGCAGAGTCATTTCTATGATATGCACATACAGATTTTATTAATCCATAGAGATGCTACTCACCACCAATATAAAGTGCCTGACTCTGTCTTAGCACACGTATACAAAGAACAGTTATACAAAGCTACTACTTTATCAGACTGGAACTCTGTGAATAGCTGAGCTGGTTGTTCTAACTTGGAGGCTATTGGAGATAAAGATTCATCTACCCAGGTAGCAAGCTGTGCAGGAAATAAAACGCAGGTTAATATTACAGCCTTTTCAAATTGAACAACACATATTACGATGCACTCCATTACAATTCGCTTGAAAAAGAATGATCATGGTTTTTATGGAGAATTTTGGTAAAACAACAAACTTTTATATAAAACAGTTAGCTTTTCCTCTTTTTCAGTGTCAAGATCAAGATCAACTTACCTTGCCAGATTCGGTCCATACAGTGGCTCTGACATTACATGATGATATCAATGTTATTTTCTCATTCATAAGATTTAAAGCAACAGTTTTTGGGTGGTGCAGATTACAGTTCTAGAAATCAAAAAAATTGGCAATATTAGATACATTGCATCTAAGAAAGAACGAAAGTTCAATAACAAATGCATGTCAGTCAAGTAAAAATACAGTCAAAAAATACAGATGAAAATAACAGCCATGCAACAAGAAGGTTTGTCAGTGTACTACAACCTGAAACAAATCTATTTATTTACGATTATTTGGTGCATGTTTCGCCACTTTCCATGTTACTGGTGATTACGAGCAAACCAAGCAATATGACAATTACCGTAAAATCTGTATTAGAAGCTGCATCCCTAATAGAAGCCGCACCCATTCTTTTTGAACAATTGAGACCTAAAAAATCACGGTTTCTCATATGTGTAGATGCTCTAATAGAAGCCGCATCCCCTCTGTTGCATTGTACCATTTTATTAGAAGCCGCAGCTTTTAATACAGATTTTACAGTACTTAGATTGCCTAAAAAAATATAAGTTTCATTGTTCCAGCAATGCAGCTTTGTTCATACTGATTGGGTTCAGGGATAACTGTCACAGTTATGTGTCACAAGCAACAATGCTGAACAGAATCAACTCTCTGTATCTATTAAAAGCATCTATACCTCATTGTTTTTGTAGACTTCTTGTTCGTTCCATTTCCATTGATATAGATGACCGCCTACCGTCACTGCAGCAAGCTCACTATGTAGAGATGCTATTTGCGTAAAACGTAAATTTTCACCCTGTTGGAAAAAATAGTTACAAATTGTAATATTATGGTCAGAGGTAAGGGTTACTGCAGCATCCAGACAGATTCAAACATATAAACAAAGGATTCCACTTCATTCCTTTGGGCGTACCACCTTTTACATGGGTACCGTAAAAACTCAATCAATTCGGCCATGTAAAAATAAATATTTTTGGGTGTGGGCCAATTGATTGAATAAATATAGAAAATATGTTTCCGAAGTGGTCGATTTGTTTGAATAATTTTTCAACGTTTTAAAACTGGGTTCGAAGTATGTATCACCGATAACTCAATAAATATATCGTTTTCCCGAGATTGGAGTAAAGGTGTAGTACTAGTCTGAGACTTGACCCAATTTTAAAACAAACTACGAGCGCGTTCAAGAAATCTGACGCAACCAGGCCACCTGCTGTTTTGTTGCCGTGGAGACGACAGTTTTATGTCACGCTCCCCGTAAATGTAAACAAACATGGTAACGTGAAAAACTGAATAAATATATCTTTTGCGGGATTGGAGTAAAAGTGTAAAGGTGTTGTCCGGTACATAGAAGCAGGTACAGCTGGGACCTCAGCAGTTGCCTTAGTAAAAAATGAATCGATTCGAGACATGGCTAGCGAGCGACAAAATAAGTACTAATAGCTTGTGGGAAAACTAAAAGTGAGTGTCTTTCCCCAGAGAAATCGCCACTTTTATAGCATGATACTCTGACCAGCCACAACATTATCGCATATTCTTTTGAAATTACCGTAAAGGATGTACATCAGTCAGTACTCAGTCTGACGTACAATGTCGAAATGATAGGCCCAGGATTCACACCTCACGTCGTCTCGTCTGCCACTTTACCGTAACCACGCACCGCTACTGAAACCGCTTCTATGAGAGCGCAGTCTTCACTTCACGGTCATGTTTTTTTACCCACAGTTAAAACAAAACAAAAAATCCACCCGACTTTTAAACGAACAACGTTGCAAGAGGAAGTTTAGAACATAACTGGGACGACTGTGTCGAAACAATCCAGCCGGTGATTTTATTTGGGTCAACCAAAAAAAAGAAGATATTTTGACGTGCTGCGTGACTGTGTAAACAAAACCATGTCCAATAAAAATGACGCTTTCACGCTACACATTGGCGACTTTGTATCGACTTACTGGAAATGCCGAAGACGATACAATTTGCAAGTCGGCATTAATTAATTTTTTACCCCGTTAACATTAATAATCTACTTGACTTTTAAACAAACAACTCTGCAGGACAATGTTTCGAACATTACTGAAACGACTGTGCTGAAACAATCCAGCAGATAATTTTATTTGGGTCAACCGAAAAAAAGAAGATATTTTGACGTGCTGCGTGACTGTGTAAACAAAACTACGTCCAATAATAATGACGCTTCCACGTAACACATAAAAAAATTGCGACTTTGTATGACTTGCTTGAAATTCCAAAGACGAGAATCAAGTGTCGGCCTGAATTTTGTTGTCCCTAAACCATGGAGCTTCGTTTCGTCAGTGATTGCTAGCAATGACTTAAAGTATTTGTTCGTTGTCGATATTTTTGGCGTCGTGATGAGAATTTTCTTAGCGATTATTTACAACTGATGTACAGGGTAATTTGTAATGACAATCAACAGAGTATATTTCACCATGGACGTACTGGAGATTTCACACGTCTTTTGTACAACCACGGTTGACACCATGACTGCACATCTGGCGGATATCCCGATTGCTTATACCATGGATGTAAATGCTTATACATGTACATTGTATTTACGTGATAGATGTGTGAAAATATACCTTTGTTGAGAGAGTGACGTAAAAATCGGGCGGTGTCATCACCGGGCGAACGAGTTGAATACAAACAATAGACTGACTGGACAGATGGCCGAACTAAACCGTAAACGGATACATTTTAAAATTAACCATGACGCAAAAAATAGGTGGCCGAACTATTTGAGTGGCCGAATTGATTGAGCTTTTACGGTACACCCCAAAACAGCATGCATGCGCATGTATCTTTGACTTCCGGGAAAGTGTCTACTGGTATGATCCCATCAGTCAGTA